CAGTTAAGTGGTACACATCGCCATCAGAAGAGGGATAAAGGCTGCCACCCTAAATGAGCCTCATTCAAAGCCCATCCACAGAGCTCCTGCTGAGAAGTCTGCGTGGAATTTGTGTCGCACATGGCAAGAAGTTGTGGCTGTTTGATGTAGCAACGCCTCGGGACAGAGATCACACTACATTATAAACCACAGTTTGTAAAAGGGGGGTGGGGCACAAGGAATGTTTTGGGGGGCAGTAAAGAAGTTTCCTGCTGTGGAAGCAGCAGTGTACTGACGCCCAGGGGTGAAAGAACATCATGTGCTAATAGATTCAATCTGCTCTGACTGACAATCTCCTATTTGAAGATAACAGACCCCTAAGTTCACTTTAACTTACCTGACAGACAAACATAACTTACACTGATACTTGTATTTGTGAAACGCGTGAAGAGGATCGTAACAGCTCAAAGTGCTGTAAGGTTCTGTCTGGGGGGGGGGTAAAATTAATCCTTTTCAAAACTAGAATCACGGCCTCACGGTTGTATGCTTCCACCAACCGGTCAAGTTGCAGAAAATATGTTCACAATCTGCCCCTCTGTTCCACAGTTACAGCATTGAATATTGGCCAGAACTGTTTATGCAGAACATTATGATGTCACAGTGAAGTTGAACTTTGACCAGATATAAAATGTCATCAAATCATCATTTTATCCTATTAGATTATCCTAATTGTGTTAAATTGTGTCAAAATTAGCGTATGAGTTCTTTATTTATCGTGTTTTGTGAGGCCACAGTGACCTTGACCTTTGACCACCAAAATCTAATGAGTTCATCCTTGAGCCAAAAGGAAAGAAATTCTCTTGAGGGGTTTATAAGATATCGAGTTCACAAGAATGGGACAGACAGACAACGCAAATCCAGCCACAGCTGTCACCAAAGTAAGAGATACAGCCTCTAGTATGCTGATTCAAATTCACACATCAGATTCAAATTCTGCGATCTGTAGAGCTGCCAAAATCCAACTCTGGGAAAATAAGTAAGTAACTAACTAGTGTCTGTGGTCTTTAACACATAATGCCCAAAGTTTAAGGCTTCATTAAATGCGGGCACTATGTCTTAAAAAGGCTATATCTCACACACCGTTCTTTCTATATTGACATAAACCTACTCAAATTAAAGTGGAGACTTGGCACTTTAATGTGGTAGCCATTATTTTATTGCCAACTGAATGTGCTGAAGCTCAGAGCCTGAAGAACAATAAATGTGTACCTGTCCAAATACTTAACGGCCTGGACTGAGTGTAGAGGCTTGTGTATTTGTGTGTGACACAGCCCTCTCCTGCTGGTAGTAACATCAGCATTAGCAACACTAGTCCCAAACTCCTCCTGGTGGAAAGTAATGACTGAAATGGTGAACTAATACATTTACAAGGAAATGCGCTCATACAGTGTTGCTGAAATCCTGGATTTAGACAGATGATGCTGATGCAGTTGGCAACGTTTGGATTAAAATTTGTCATCAAGAAAAAACCAAAACGTTCTATAAATCGCTGCTGTGCTGTTGCTGCGGCAGTAAAAAACATTTTAGAGGTTTTTTGCTCTTAACATTTAATGTAAACGTTCATTTTACTACCGTGGTCATTCAACTGAATTCATGTATCAAAAAATCTCACTATATCTGAGGTGAATCATGATTATATCACAGTATATCGTTACAAGTGGATTACTTAGTCATATTGAACCGTCGGTGGTTATATTATCCTTTTAAACATAGATACACGGGTTGAAGCCAGTGGTATGCGTTGAGTGGGATGTGGTTACAATGACCTAACTCAGCATTTCAATGTGGTGTTCAAACCAATTCAGTCATTTTTGAGAATCTCAGTTTGTCAGGTGTGAAGGTAACGCATGGCAAGTTGTAAGAATGTGAAAAAAATCTTTACCATTGAAGAAGTCTGCATGAACTGCCTTTTCATTGGCAGCCAGATCCATCAGCAGTCCTGTGCTTCCCCCAGCCTGCCAGAGAACAAACATGCAGCTGACAGGAACAAATTTAACCTAAGAAAGCCAGCCAGCAGCTTACTGGCAGGACAACCACAAAAAAACTGCCTATTTCATAGAGTCTGTTTAGAAAAAATACTCATAATATTGCTGTGATCAAACAAAAGGGTGCAAAGACCATATTTTTAAATCACCACCTTTTATTTATGCTGCTGCAACTTCCTGTTTTCATCCTAACCTGCAGGCAGCTCATCAATCGAAAAGGCAACTTTTTACACAAAGTTTCTCATCTGTTTTTATAGTCTTATCTATTAATTATTTTACAAAGCAATCCATCAACCCAACCTGCCTTTGTGTGAAAAGTCTAGGCTGCTGGTGGTGGGAGTGTTTTCTAAAAACACTCTGGGCCCCTCAATACCAATCAATCATGGTTTGAATGCCAGAGCCTGTCAGAGTATTGTTGCCGCAGTGAGCATTCCTTCAAGGCCACAATTTACCATCTTCCAGTGGCTACTTCCAGCATGAATATGAATCCAGTAGAACACTTCTGGGATGTGGAAGAACAGAGGATTGGCAGTATGAATGTACAGTTGACAAATCTACAGATGTAATGTGCTGCAATCATGTCAACATGGAGCAGAATCTCAAAGGAAAGTTTCCAACATCACAGAACTGAGGCTGTTCTGAGAGCAAAGAGAGGCCCAACCCTGTATTAGTATCATATAGTGTTCCTAATTAAGTGCTGGTGAGTGTTTATTGTGTTTATATATTGGTTTATTTAACATTACATCGTGATAAGTCATACTGACAGTTAACAGTTAGACAGTTTATTTGTTAGATTAACTTACAAATACATCAACGCTAATATAAAACTTACTAGAAAACTTAACTTAACGTCCGTCTGAGAAAAAATAAACATTGACGTTAGCGTGTGTAAACTTATTAGTTATTAACCGTAACTTCTAGCTAAGTTAACATTAAGTAGCTGGTGAAGTGTTAGGCTGTAAGAAAGGGTTATAACAAAGGCAGAAAGCTGGTTAATACAGCTGCCTAATTCATTGTTAATATCATGAATTAGCTAGCAGGCTAACACACCTCATCCAGATCCACGTACGGTCCGGCGCCTTCAGGGAACATCTCATCCACTGCTGGTTTCATGGCAGTTGAGTTTGACTGATCCTTTAGTGGCATAGATAAATTGTTATTGTCAAATTTGTATCCAGCTCTCTCAGCTACAGAAGCTACACCATGAGCTGCACAGCTAATCTGGTTTGAAAATAAATCCGACAGGAAAGTCAAGTCAGGACACAAAGGTTCCGCTGCTTTCGTGGATAAAATAGTCTTCATTCATTTAATACCTGAAGTGGGAAGTAACCCACCACATTATCTCAAGCTCTTTACTTGAAATACACATTTGTACTTTCTTTATTTTTTATGCTATTTTACATATATATTCCACTGCAGAGGGAAATATTTCACTTTTTACCCCACTCCGTTTACCCGACAGCTGTTGTTAAATTGCTTTACGGAATAAGATGTTTACATATAAGCAGCGGAACCTTTGTCTCCTACTTTATTTTCAACTGACGCCACACCAGATTAGCAGTGTATCTGAGAGAATTTGATGAGAAATACACAAAATACACCGTGTTTTTGTTCATCTCTGCCACTAAAGGATCGGTCAAACCACAGTATGTGGATGCAGGACCTAATTTCTGAAGGGCGGCACCAGAGTTCGGGGTCACCGCGGACCGCGGAGCAGACCTCCTGTATTCGCTGAAGTTGACAAACTGATTAAAGATATTGAGGTAACAACTCCGTGAATATGTGACCTTCTGCAATTTAAAAACACTACAAAAGAAATGTTTCCAGGGGGACACTAAAAAGTGATGAACACATCTGTGACAAGCTTGTTGTTGCCATGGTGACTCATGAACTTAGACGACTATTTCTCATTGGTGATGAGCAGAAGTTGCTGTTTGTTTGTTTGTTTGTTTGTTTGTTTGTTTGTTTGTTTGTTTGTTTGTTTGTTTGTTTGTTTGTTTGTTTGTTTGTTTGTTTGTTTGTTTGTTTGTTTGTTTGTTTGTTTGTTTGTTTGTTTGTTTGTTTGTTTGTTTGTTTGTTTGTTTGTTTGTTTGTTTGTTTGTTTGTTTGTTTGTTTGTTTGTTTGTTTGTTTGTTTGTTTGTTTGTTTGTTTGTTTGTTTGTTTGTTTGTATATCCAGTTTACATTATTCGGGGAGGATTCTAGATATCTGCTGTCAGCCTGGAAAGATTTCGTATTTGGATGTTATATATATATATATATATATACATATATATATACATATATATATATATATATATTATGTATAAGTAGCCTATATAGTTCCTTGTTGATCATATTGATTCTTGTGGTCTGATGATTCTTTCCTTTACTGAAGGGAAAGTACCACTGCCACAGTGTAGAAATACTCTGTTACAAGTAAAAGTCATGGATTCAAAATTACCGTACTAGAATATTAGCATCGAAATATACTTATGAAGTACCACAAGCAAAGGCACCCCTTATGGAGAATAGACATTTTCAGAATAATATGTATTATATTATAAAATTATAACTACTAATAGATTCATGTGTTCATCACGTTAAATGTTGCAAAGGTGAACCCACCACAATTCCTCAAAGCCCAAGCTGATGTCATCAGGTGTCTTGTTTTGACTGATTTACGGTCCAAAGCACAAAGATATTCAATTTACTATAATGATACCGCTAGGAAAAGCAGAAAAATTGCAATTTCTGGAAACTGCAACCATTAAATGTTTGTAGCCAAATTATCAAAAAAATGAATAAACAACACATCAGTGCAGCTCAAATCCCAATTTCTGTGGGAATCCTGTTTTCTATACTGACTTACATACAATACTTTTACATCAAAATTGTGTTTGAGTGGTAAGTGAAGATCACATGTGATAAGTCTAACTGGCCTTTATTTACTCTAATTAGATGCTTTATGTTTCCACTTTGTGGTATAAACATCAGATTGACTCAATACCATTTATTCCCACTTTATATTACAAATGAAATAACATATTTTTTCATGATGACAAAATGAACAGCTTCACTGCAGAACATTACTCTTACTTATTGTAACATCACAACCAGTGATGATGTGTTAAATAAAAAGGTGGGTAAACTATGATTTAGTATTCATTTATGCTTTTATAAACTACTTACTATAATGCACAGTATATGAATGCAGTTATTTTGTTTTGTAAATGTTTTTATTGTCTTAAAAAGAATGAAAAACTCTGTTCTACATATACACAAACTGAGCAACAGAGTTGAGTCTACCCTCGTGGTAACAATCACCATAAAATATTAGTCGAAGATGGACTCATCTTCTCCCTCCTTATCACCAACAGTGCCATCTTGTGTTGCATTTCCATTGCTGCTCAGAGAGTTTTGTCACAGCCCTGCTGCCTGCTGGCAATCATCCTGGTCACGTCGATGTTGTTGGTGGCAAAGATCTCCTTGGCTTTCTCGACAGTGGAGTCCGGCAGGGTTCGTGTTCGGCCCAGGATCCAGGCAAAGTCAACGTGGAAGAGCCTCAGGATGTCCGTGCAGGAATACACCAGGGCTGAGTTCACGTAGTCAGTGGACAGGATCCAGTAAGGGGAGTAGGGCAGGACTGCAGTGAAGGTATACAAAACAAGATCAGATCAAGAGCGCCTGAAATGTTTTCTCCTGGAGAAAGCCACTAACATTACAAATTAATTTGCTTAACAGTGGTGGTTACTGTCAGAACTATAGCAAATGTAGTCATGCTCACCATAGGAATAACTTATTCCCAGCTTGGCTGGATTCTTCATATCCTCTATGACTCCAGTTCCTTCAATTTTCCTCAGCTCTCCTTTTCTGTTTCATCCGAGACAGTCAAATTTCATGTTGGGTTTAAGGAAAATACACACCATGCAAATATCACCTCGTTACTCCACATTTGCACAAAGAAATTGCAGGTAGGACTCACAGTATTTCAGAGCTGACCACTCGGATGGAGTTGTCTGTCCTCATAGTGAAATTGGTTTCAATGCATCGGCCCTTCTCAAACTGGGCCGGCAGTTTGGCAATTTCAAACCATCTCCCCATAAACTGTGAGGGCAAAAACACACANGTTTGTTTGTTTGTTTGTTTGTTTGTTTGAACATCCAGTTTACATTATTCGGGGAGGATTCTAGATATCTGCTGTCAGCCTGGAAAGATTTCGTATTTGGATGTTATATATATATATATATATATACATATATATATACATATATATATATATATATATTATGTATAAGTAGCCTATATAGTTCCTTGTTGATCATATTGATTCTTGTGGTCTGATGATTCTTTCCTTTACTGAAGGGAAAGTACCACTGCCACAGTGTAGAAATACTCTGTTACAAGTAAAAGTCATGGATTCAAAATTACCGTACTAGAATATTAGCATCGAAATATACTTATGAAGTACCACAAGCAAAGGCACCCCTTATGGAGAATAGACATTTTCAGAATAATATGTATTATATTATAAAATTATAACTACTAATAGATTCATGTGTTCATCACGTTAAATGTTGCAAAGGTGAACCCACCACAATTCCTCAAAGCCCAAGCTGATGTCATCAGGTGTCTTGTTTTGACTGATTTACGGTCCAAAGCACAAAGATATTCAATTTACTATAATGATACCGCTAGGAAAAGCAGAAAAATTGCAATTTCTGGAAACTGCAACCATTAAATGTTTGTAGCCAAATTATCAAAAAAATGAATAAACAACACATCAGTGCAGCTCAAATCCCAATTTCTGTGGGAATCCTGTTTTCTATACTGACTTACATACAGTACTTTTACATCAAAATTGTGTTTGAGTGGTAAGTGAAGATCACATGTGATAAGTCTAACTGGCTTTTATTTACTCTAAGTAGATGCTTTATGTTTCCACTTTGTGGTATAAACATCAGATTGACTCAATACCATTTATTCCCACTTTATATTACAAATGAAATAACATATTTTTTCATGATGACAAAATGAACAGCTTCACTGCAGAACATTACTCTTACTTATTGTAACATCACAACCAGTGATGATGTGTTAAATAAAAAGGTGGGTAAACTATGATTTAGTATTCATTTATGCTTTTATAAACTACTTACTATAATGCACAGTATATGAATGCAGTTATTTTGTTTTGTAAATGTTTTTATTGTCTTAAAAAGAATGAAAAACTCTGTTCTACATATACACAAACTGAGCAACAGAGTTGAGTCTACCCTCGTGGTAACAATCACCATAAAATATTAGTCGAAGATGGACTCATCTTCTCCCTCCTTATCACCAACAGTGCCATCTTGTGTTGCATTTCCATTGCTGCTCAGAGAGTTTTGTCACAGCCCTGCTGCCTGCTGGCAATCATCCTGGTCACGTCGATGTTGTTGGTGGCAAAGATCTCCTTGGCTTTCTCGACAGTGGAGTCCGGCAGGGTTCGTGTTCGGCCCAGGATCCAGGCAAAGTCAACGTGGAAGAGCCTCAGGATGTCCGTGCAGGAATACACCAGGGCTGAGTTCACGTAGTCAGTGGACAGGATCCAGTAAGGGGAGTAGGGCAGGACTGCAGTGAAGGTATACAAAACAAGATCAGATCAAGAGCGCCTGAAATGTTTTCTCCTGGAGAAAGCCACTAACATTACAAATTAATTTGCTTAACAGTGGTGGTTACTGTCAGAACTATAGCAAATGTAGTCATGCTCACCATAGGAATAACTTATTCCCAGCTTGGCTGGATTCTTCATATCCTCTATGACTCCAGTTCCTTCAATTTTCCTCAGCTCTCCTTTTCTGTTTCATCCGAGACAGTCAAATTTCATGTTGGGTTTAAGGAAAATACACACCATGCAAATATCACCTCGTTACTCCACATTTGCACAAAGAAATTGCAGGTAGGACTCACAGTATTTCAGAGCTGACCACTCGGATGGAGTTGTCTGTCCTCATAGTGAAATTGGTTTCAATGCATCGGCCCTTCTCAAACTGGGCCGGCAGCTTGGCAATTTCAAACCATCTCCCCATAAACTGTGAGGGCAAAAACACACAAGTTCAAAGACAATTTAGAGCACTGTGAGTGGAGACTATGAATAAATCTACATACTGTAGTGACTTCTGTAAAACGTGTGGTAGGTGCCTTATCAAACTTATTCTTTACCAGTGTTGAAACAATTACACTTATTTACGACGCAGGTTCAGGTTTAACATAAACACAAAAAAAAGAGTTTATCTTATGAAAGATGATGCATCCTTACAGAGTCAAATACTCAACAGTGTGTTAAGTATTTTAAATTAGCTCCCCTTTGACAAACTATAATAGTAAAATGCTCCTTACACATTAAAAAACCCATAATGATAATCTGATGACACTTTACTTTAACCTGCTCTTTTTTAGAGTACTAGTAATATTTCAAGTACTTTTAGCTGATAGTACTTCTGTACCTTTACCTGAAGTAATTTTTTGGATGCAGGACTCATATAATAAAAAGACTACTTATTTTTAATTGAGTAGTTTTACAGTGTGGTATTGCCATTTTCATGTAAGTAAAGGATCTGAATACTTCATCCACCACTGGTCTTTAAGATTGTTTTTAAACAATGGTAAGATAGAAGTATAATTATTAATGGCTACTTCCTATTGAATGAAAATTAAATACAACATCATAGTATATGCTGTTTGTACCTGTTTGAGGTTGAACTCAGGTTGAACGGCCGGTTCTGGACATGGTCCCCAGTGGGGCACCTGAGCCCTAATGAGCGGGAGAACGAATGCAAAGACCAGAGCAAGAGATAACTTCATAGTGAGACAGGCCTTCGTTACCTGCAAAAATAATAAAGAGGTCACAAATTGAAAATTGCAGAGTGAAAACATTAAATCGATGTGTAAATAAGGCAACAGGCAGCAGAAATGTGACATAAAAAGTCAAGATATAAGCAGAGTAACCACTGAAAAGCATAACAATGCATTCACAGCATTATTAAAAGCAAAACAAGTCAAAGGCAAACAAACATTATTTGTCATTGTCACAGTGTTCTAATGATCTTCAGTGATCTGTTTTGTTATTTTATTATTAAATACATCACCAAATATCTTTTCTTACCCCCGTGGCCTTGTGGTTCAGATATATGTTCTCTTCCTTGGACAAATCCTGGTATGTGAATTAGAGACGTTGCTCTCCGAGGTTTTGCAGTACTGCTCCTCTGTGTCATCAATGGGTGTCTTTGTGTGGAGCCAGCCTTATTTCAGACATGAAGTGAACTATTAGCGAAATTGGAGTCATGGGGGACATACCAGTAGAAATGATATAAAACAATCTGGGTGTTTCCCTGCCTCAGATGCGCAGGAATGTGGATTTTTTTTTTTATGTTTCCATTGAATATCTGAGGACTTCTTGAGGAGGCTTGCAGGTTACAAAGCTGCACAGTGTCTTCATGTCTCTAGACACAAACAGCATCTTAATAAATGAATGCCTTTTTAAAGTTGAGGAAAGTAGATGCCTTAGTTTATTTTCAAACCTACAAAATAACATGTCCTATTTGGTTATACAAAGTAAATGACTAAATGAATTAGATTTGATCTAATTCAATAATATTTAGTCATGTTCACATCACTATAGCTTACTGCCCCATTGACAGATCAGGGCTGTAAACCTTTTTGCCCTAACAGTACTAAGGCTCAAGGGATGGCAATGGCGATTGATCCACTACTTTGGTCCAGACTGCAATATCTCAACAACTATTGGACATATTACCATTGAATTCTGTACAGGTATTCATGCTCAGGATGAGTTGTAAAAGCTCTGGCGATCCTCTGACTTTTCCTCAAGCACCACCAACAGATTGACATTTGTGGTTCAGAATGACACATCTCCTCGACCTCTGCAGACATTCATTTGTGTTGATCTCCTGACTTTTCATTCGCTCAGTGGCCAGCAGGTCAGACTGTGGTTGTATTGAGCAGCTTCCAAGTGTGTGAGTGTGTAATTGAGTGAGTGTGATTAAAGTTTTCCTGAAAAAGAGAGAATCCATCTCAGTGAAACTACACAAATATAAAACTATATACTGCTGCTGTTGCTGCTGCAGTTGGTCTATTTTTCTGATTTTCTTAAAATGGTAGATTGCATTTAGGTTAAAGTAAGTTGGGACGATATCAGAGTAAGGGCTGAACTAGTGCCAACCTAATCTATTTACACAAAAATTCATTATCCTCTATTTAAAAATTTGGCAGCGCTTCCGTGTTAAGGAAAAGCTGAAGAAACCTGGTCATTGCACACATTGTTGGGTTGATTATGCTGGGTCATAATTCTGGTTGGTTTGGGATACTGTAAACACTGTTGGGTTGCTCATGCTGCAGGGGTTGTAAGGGTTTCTTTTGCAGCTGAAAAAGTCATTAAAATGGTAATTTGGTCATCAAAAATCTATTGAGAAGATGAAATGGGAAAAAAAATCAAAGAAATATTTGACCATTAAATCAAATTTCCTGTTAAAATGAAAAGTTTTCAAAAAGTTTTGCTACTATGATTGGCTTCTGTGAATTTAATTTTAACAGAAAATTAAATAGTGCTAAACCTAGACATCACAAATTTAATATTGATATGAAATGAAACAGTGACAGTTACACTATACCTGCGAGCATTGCCTACTAAAATGTAGATAGTAGTAGTAATAATCAAAGTGAATGCAATGTGATGAAATGTCAGTAACCTTAAATTGGCCCTAATTACAATATCTGGTTAAAAAGACAACAAACAATGATTCTAAGATCAAAGTGTCAGTAACCTTCACTGCTTATTTGGCCATTAATAATTGGCTGACATAGGCATAATGCAATTAGGACATGATGATGTCAGCAATTCCACAACAGTTTTCAACTATAGCCTCAAATTTGCACATTGTCCATATGTGGTCCAGCCACATACTAGGTTTTGACCTGGACCTTGCAGTTTGATACTTCCACAAAATTAACTTGATAACTTAAATGTCAGCTATATTGCAAATGCAAGTGACTGGTGTGTAATTAACATATGGGGACCAACATGGTTGAGAATTTACAAAATGCAGAGACCAGGTAAATGGTAAGACCCAGCACTTGGGTCAAACCAACCTAGCATGTGGTCTGTCTCATAGTTACCCAGCATTGGGGTTAAAGTTGGATTATTTTTTAACCCAGCAGTTTAAGAGTGTCCAATTAAATCCTGTCTGCTTCCAGACAAAGCCCCATGGCTACAAACAAGGTTAAATTAAAGAAGAAAAAGATCAGAAGGTTCAATTTCCAGTTGATAACACTTCACAGAGGACTGACTTATTAGATGCACCCAGATACATCAAAGCCTGGTTAAAGCAGAGGCACCAGGTTTTTCCCTGGATAAGCTCGACTGGTCAGTGGATGATCAAGGACAGAACAAATCACAATGGCATATTTGCTGTTAGACAGTGAAAAATATCAAAAGAGTAAGGAATATTAAACAGTAGAATGTAGAATCTGTTAGACTTGAACATATCAGCAAAGAACTTGGCCCATATACTTGTTTTGTAATAGTTTTGTTTCCATATTTTATCACATGGAGGCTGGCTTCTCTTTTTGTCTCTTATCTGCACTTTATTTCCCACAGTTTAGTTTTTATTCTTGGATTTCTGTCTGAAAACTTCAAACTTAACCAGCCAAGCCAAGCCATGCTCGGGGAAAGTCTGAAACCTGCATTAATTGAGTTTTTGACTTGAGAGCAGCACAACGAACTATAACACAACAGTTACATATTAACACTTTATAAAGTTGCCAACATGTTAGTTACCTATTTACTTATCCATACACATCCAGAAAATACAAGGCAACACTATCATTTATTTGGTGTCATGTTTCTGGTCCAAGTTCAATATTTACTCTTTTTTAAACTATTTTTGGTTTCAACCAACTCCCGAGGGAAATATGTAGCTCTTGAGCAGATTAATGCTCCACTATGTTCAAGAGTCAGTCAGTCTTTACCCGTGTGTTTGTAGAGCAGTGAGAGTGAACCTAAACATCAAAGTCAAGCTGAAAGACACTAAAACAGTCTGAGTAGAGGTTAACTATAGGGTCAGGTCGTTTGTCACTATGTGCAACACTTTACATAGTTAATTGATCTGCTGGTGATAGAAAAACACTTACCAGAGAAGCTTTAATCCTTACTACAAGTGTAGGATTTTGCCCCTGGGTGGCGCCAGAGGGCTGGCCTCAATGTTCAAGTTAGCTGTGCTCTGAGTTTCAGTATGTTGACATGACTAGAGTTAGTGTGCTACACTTTGGTTTATTAAGACAAAATATTTTGTGTGTATGTGCCATGAACACAAACAGTGTTGTCAAATAATGTAATATGTAATATGTGACAGCTACAGTAAAGACTTACATACCGCTAAGCATGGGGTCACGCAACATGTGGAAGGGAAAATGTCTTCAGATGTGCTGTAACATACATAGAGCTTGGGAATAATTCCTGCTGCTGAGGGACTGCAGAGGTCACAACATCATCGGTGACCTTTCACCTAAACTGACTCGATAGTTTTCCACAGAATGTTGTCGAAAAAGGACAAGTCACATAAGTAATTTCATTAACTATTACTGAAGTTGCAGAGAAATTTGATTGGGGTAGGACAACATCTAAACTGATTGAGGATTACAATGAGCTGACTGAGTTTGACCAAAAGAGAGTTATTTTATTTGGCGATTCACATCCAGTCAAACTAAAATGATGTCTTCAATACAACTTGGTCTGGGGTTAGAGTTGTATCAGGGTTAGAGTGGAACAGTTGTAATACAATCCCCCCCATTAATAGTCACAGTATGTTACAACGTGCATGCTGTGGAGAAATTACGGAAATTAGAGAGTGTGGTAGTGCTTTCAGAAATACTTAACAGCACACAGTAACACCGATCAAGACCACAAACAAGAGCATCACGAGTGACAGCAAAATCATTCTGACGGCTTAAACAACAACTGAGTGTTGAAGACATCACCAGTGAGCAAAGTGCTCCTGTTTGATGCAACATCTTCCCAAAAATGGGAATCCAGCTGTAGCAAATCTAAATGAAGAATACAGGAAGTTGTACAACTCCCTGAACAGGTTTAAATTTAATGAAATTAAAAACTTAATGTGACATTTCAAACAGAAAGTTATAAGCATATTAAACATGTTTCTTTCTTTCAGCACAGTGCTGTTTTAAGCAAGCCGTGCTCCATTCAACATGTTCTTAATGTTTTAAAGGAAGGCCATCAACATATATCTATTATGACACTAAATTAATTCCATGTTTTAAAGATGTTACCCTTATTTACCCTCTTTCCATTCATGAAACAAAGGATGAGTGGTTCATGGTGTAAGCTGGTTAGTGTTATCAGCAAGCTGACTGAGGTGAATGTTTGGTTAAGCTGATACAGTATGTAGTTATCCTTTAACAAAGATAAGATGCCTTTATTTTCATGGTTTTGGTCAAATATGCCTGAGAATGGATCACATTGGAAGGTCAGAGGTCACTTCTCAGGTAAACTTCCACTTTATCATGACTAGAAACTGTATGAATTCATTCTCACTGCAACAACATGACCACAAAGGATCGATTCAAACACTTCTTACACAACCACTTCTGTCTTTGCACCTTTGTGCGCTTTAGTAAGCACTGACACATCAACTCTAGTTCTCTTTAGAACATCTTTAGAGCCATACCTGATCATTATTTTTATAACAATTATTATTTATCTTTTCAATGTGGCTCTTACAAAATCCCCAAGAGAAATATTCTTCTACTGAAAGCAGGTGGTTAATGTGCTTATTCACTTTCTTATCAAGGCTTACTTAAGAAAATTTAGATTTTGCTCAGAAAATAGGAGGCTAAACTACGACTAGCAGAAAAAAGGCTTAGCTTAACGTAGAGTGGAGAAACATCTACCCTGGCTCTGTCCAAAGATAACAGCTGTCTACCAACACCTCTAAAGCTCATTGATTAAAACTTTACATGTGATTTTGCTCATGCATTCAAAGCCCAATGTGTAAAAATGACAATTAGTGGTTTGACAGATGGCTGTTGTTGGCGTGCCTCTTAGCCGATAGCACTAACTTACCTTTGAACAGAACCAGACTAGCTGTTTCCACCTAGTCTTTATGCTAAGTTAAGCTAACCAGCTGCTGGCTATAGAGTAATCATACACATAAGTGAGTGATA